TCTCGCACTCTTGGTTGTTCATGAGGCATGCGTGGCCCATCTCCTGTCCGAGAACTGCTCATACTATTGTTGCTACTTGCAGCACCACCACCTGATCCTTCCTTTCCCTGGTTGTTTCTTCCCGGTGATGCTCTAAGCCAGCCCCCCACTGTGCAGCGGAGTCGATAGGTGGCTCGCACACTCCCCCCGCATGGACAAGCCTTCCACATTCGAAACAAAAATGAGGGATCTTCTCATAATGGAAATCAAACCAGGTTTTCTCCACATCCTCTTTGAACTTTTTTAGATAGAATCCACGGACCAAAGGCTCATGCACAGAAATTGTAGTTCTGACTCTCAGCTGCGTCCCTCTCGCAAAGCCCTCCTTGTCCACATCAACTCTCACCGTCTCTCCTAGCCAGTTTCCCAAAGCTGTTCCAAAGACCTCTGTTCTCCTGTCCGGTGGCAAATCTGTTACCCTGACCCAGATATCAATTTTGTCAAAAACCATCTCTGATGGTCTCTTGTCTCCCTCATAATCCTTCATGATCAAAACTGAAAAATCATACTGCCAGGGCCCGTTGTTCAACACATGTTTCCAGTCCCCTTCGCTGCCGAAGTGCACCTCAATAATATTGGGTCCAATCTCCATGAATCGGGCTTCTCGGTGCAGGCCCCATGCTCTTATCATTGTCCTTTCTAGCACTGTCCTATTCATTGGTCTTGCTGAACATACCTTGCCCACCGCAGCCCACCTATGGCGTTTCTGAACTACAGGATCTGGATCTTCGAATATGAAGCCCTCTACCTCCTTGTCCATCAGCACCATACTTCCCATCCTTGCCGACAGACTTGCAGCCGGATCCGGTGTCTTGCTCTCAACCGGGGATTTGGTGGATCCCCTGCTAGTCGAACCCTTCTCTTCCCGCGCCGGCGGTGTAGCCGCTGCCGCAGTTGAGATTGGAGTCTTTTTCCCCGGAGTCGCTGCCGCTTTCCCATCTGTTGTCCCTGCCATCAGCACCGCTCCACAGCAGAGATCACAGTTTCGCCGACCAGAGTCGAGGGGAGCGCCGTCGCCGCCCAAGTCCCTGCCGGAGTCAAGCCACCCCCGTCAGAACGAAACCCTAACCCTAACGTAGAAGCGCAATCGCCTTGCGATCGCCCTCTACCGCCTTAGCGCTTCGTTGCGTGGTGGACCCCCCGCACCGGATGCATATCATCATCATTTCTACGATGCAGTATTCGCTAGCTTTAGCTGTCAGCCCTTTTCTCCCTCCCACTGGCCGCGAATTGTCTTGCGGTGTGGTGGACCCCCCGCACCGGTTTGTATGAAGTGGGAGTGGGCGAAAGAAACAACACTGCTCGTACGAGGGCGCTCGTCCATTTTCACTGTCCTCACTCACGCTCGCGGAGACGGCTCGATTGGTTTCATCTTCCTCGCACCTCGCCGCTCTTTCTTCTTCTCGATTCAAAACTCCAAGCCCCTTCTCCCCTCCCCTCCCCTCCCCACCCCCAAAACCCTACCACATCCTCCTCCACCGACGCCATGGCGTCGCCTCGCTCTCGTCACGGTAAGCGCCTCTCCCCACACCCCATCCCTAACCCTACCCCCCA